CGGTGAGCCTGATCTTCTTGCCCTCCAGCTGGGTGAATCAACAGGAAAACCCACGAACTCTGCTTGACTCACTAAAAGACATCAGTCCTTCCATGCCGTATTAAGCCTATCCCGGGGGGGAGGTGCCACTCCAGCTGATAAATTATAGATATTTTTACAATGTAGTCAATAGAAACAATCACTCCCATCCTGTACAGAAGAGAAGATGAAAGGGCCATAAGAAATATCAATGCACTAGCAAATGAGAGGACACCTCTGTAATGGATTTTAAGGGTTTGGGATTCCGATTACAGTGTACTGGATGGGAAAGACAACCCTAGGAAGTAAAGTTGGATGCCCTTCAGCTTGAGAGGGATGATGACCAGAAGATGAGTTTTATGGACAAGAAAGAACAATAACTACTACCAGCATTTCTGGTTAACAAGCTCATGCTGGTCTTGTTAGTGAAGGAAAATGAATGGAATTGAAAATAAATGAAACATTTGAAAGAATTGGGATGTCTGTATCCCTGGTCTAGGTATCTGGATACCATTAAGGCTAGAGCAAAACTTAACTTATGCAGGTGTTTAGAGAAAAGTTTTATTGCTATCTTTCCATTAAAGATTTTCAAAGGCCATAAAAGATTAGGGGAGAAAGGACACAGAAGGAAATCAAAGCCAAATGCAATGTACCTGGGGCAAGTATTCCCTTCAAACGTTCTCACCACTAGCCAGTAATTAAGATAATATGTGAATTTCCATGGTAAGCATATTTTTCAGTTTCGGAAATGTAATCTGTCTCTTAAATACTCTATTCTGAAGCCGTGGGTAATAGTAGGTTTTAGCCAAGGGACTCTTTTACCTGCCTATTTTCCCCAGAAATCTCTTAGCCATTATTCACAAAGAGCCAAATTCTGGGGTTAGGTCATGGTCAATCCGTGTGCAGAAGGGACTCTCCACATGCAGAACTCACTCCTCTCATGTGGAAGAGGACACACAGAACTGTCTTCTTGGCACCATTCCCCACTTCTTACAGCTGTGGGGACTGAGGAGGTGGGGACAGGGTTGCCCTACAATGGGGCATGGGGATGCACATCCTTGCCTCTCTAGCCTTAGAGATTAGGCCTGGGTTTGTATTACCTGACCTGTGGAGTCTTCTGCAAAGAGGAGATCCACCTTGGATTTTGACTAGGGAGAGTCACTGGTATTGCAACCAGCCTATTCAGGAAAGAGATGAAGGCCTCTCACATGGATGACCCTGCCCTTGCATGGATCTCTGGGGATCGTACAAGTTTGGATGCTGCAGGTTCTCCCTCATTTCTACTGGATAATGGAATCTCCCTTGTCGTTGCTGACTAGATCTGAGGCAAAATGAACACGATTCCTCCAGAATCTGTGATTTCCTCCCTAAGATGCAGTTGGCTAATATGGGCTCCCAGTTTACGCATTATCTTGGCCACAAGCTCTCCCAGTGGAACCCTCATCTCATTCATTGGACAGGAAGGGCTGGGTATCAGAACAAACCCTGCAATTTAATTCTTCTCCTCCACGCTAGCACAGCACACGAGCCAGAAGTTTCCAGGCTTCAGCTATGTCCTGACTTAAAATTATTTCTTGCATAACAGTCTCTTTATATTCTATGATTCTATGAAATCTTCTACTACGTGACCTTGGTCAAGTCACTTAAACTCCAAGGGCTTAATTTTCCCCACCTGTAGGGTTAGATAGTAGATAATGTTTTCACCCCTCAGCTCACAGAGAGCCGAGAAGCTATCTCACAGGGACGGGATGAGATTTAATTCACTGATGTTTGTAAAGTGTTTTGAGATTCTTAGAGGAAAGGTGTTACAGAGCAGAAACGTGATCCAGTGGACAGGGCATGAGCCTAGGACTTGGGAGACCTGAGTTTAATTCCCTGCTTTGCCACACATGCCCTGTTTAAGCCTGGGCAAGTGGCATAGTCCTGGCTCCCAATGGGACAACCATTCTTCCCTACTTCACAGGGGTGTTATGATAATAACCACATTAAAAATTATAAGGTACTAGAATATTGCAGGGAGTGGAGCCCTGTGGGTACCTGATCCAGACAGATGTGTTATTTTTAGTGTTTGGGGTTTTTAAAATACTAGCCGCATTATTTTCACTGAAAGATCAATTCTGCAGGCATTATGATTTCTTTTTATATTTTTCAGTATGCTTATTTATAGCAATGTTGTGCTGGATGATACTACAAATACATAAAGATGAGTTCCCCTCGCTCTGCTGTGTTTCCACAGCTCTCCCTGCTGTGTGCAATATGGCTGACTGAAAGCTTGTGTAGCTGTCCAAAACAGAGCATGTATTCCAAAGGAGTGAATCTGAACGCCACCTGCACATACTTAGCTACTAAAGGAGCTCACTCCAGTTTGTCTAAATACCTCTCTAGACAAGCACAAACAAGAGCCTTGATGTGCCTATAAAACTTTAGTAGGTTAGTTGCTTCTCTTCTCAAAAAGCGCAAGAATGTGAGAGAGATTTTATAGAATAAATGGCAGCGGCCATCTTCAGTGATCCGCACTGTGTAAAACACGATGTTGAATCGTATCAACTGTGGGTATATTATTGAGTAAAAAACTGGAACATTAATAACTCTAGGGGACGAAACAGGTAGATAACGTCCATCCAAACCTTAGTCGTGGCACCTTTACGAATATGCAAAACATCACAGGTACAAGGCCTTATTTGCAGACACTGAATTAAACTGTAATCTTTAAAACTGAGTTAATTCTGAATCTGGTTTTGGGAGACAGCAATTATGTCAGCGAAGTATAAACGCAAGGAAAATTTTTATATTAATGACAACTGAGAAAATATATATATATATATATTGTAACAGATGTCAACTGCCGTTAGATTCAACTCAACTTATTAGTGCATGGCTTTTAGCCAAAAGCAATTCACATTTGCAGAAGTGTACTATCGCATATGTCTTAATAACAGAAATGTGTTTTTAAAAATGTATGTGATAAGTCACATATGGTAGAAGGAATCTGTACAGCTTTCAGCCCTTTTGACAATGGAATCAACTAACTTTATTTTGTGAAGCTGAAGAACATTAAAATTCAAGTGAAATTCTCTTTGACATTTGAAAGAGCTACAGCACTGATGGCATTAAAAACTAGACGGGAGTCTGCGGTGCTGAATATGGTCTCCTTGCTTATACAAATACAATCTACATCTATTACCGTTATCTTAAAGATACCATTTTACTCTTGCTCTCAGAGGCAATGTTTTAGGGTAAAACCATACAGGTACATTAAGTGCTTACATTTCATTGAAAAATACTAGGCAGATACTTTAGCTCTTCTTTATGCAGAGTGTAATTAATATGTATAATGGACTCCCTAGGGTACTAACTGAAGCTGCAATCATTAACATATTCAAAGGCAAGTTAAAACAAGCAGTTGGGGAAAATATGACAGGGTGAAATATACATGTGGAGGTGGAGAGAGCTAGACTGGCCATATGGCCGCTTTCCATCCCAAAATGTTACTATGTTTTTCAGGTCCCAGAAAGCAATGATTTAACTCAAAATAAAGAAACGAACATTTTAGATGGCGTAATTGCGCATCCCTGTAAAGTACAAATTGCTTAGGAGTGGCGTTGTCTGCTGCAAACTGGTGCTGCACCACTGACTGCCCTGAAGTGGCCCCAGCTTACACCAGCGGAGAGTTTAAAAAAAATTCATGAATGAAAAATATTATGTTGGAGCTGCCCCCACTCCCTTCTCTTGTCCTCTAGAAACTGAAGAGGAGCAGCCAATTCACTTCAAATAACAACCACCAGCTAGATTTTTAATTCAGCTTGGCCTGGACCTAGTTACTCAGAAATGAATGGCCCCCTGTCTCATTACAAGTTCCTTAAGCTTTTATATCCCCCCTGGTTTCCATTTCTAATTCTCATCAGATTAAATGAAACATAAAGAGTCTGATTTACAACTGCCTGGCACCTTGTTCTGATGAGCATTTTACATTCATTTTGCCCTGGTGTAAATGACTATCCAAGGTGGAAGGCAATGGAGAGTGAGGCCTGTAGTCTTTTCGTTGTGCCTCCCAAAACACAGCCACTCATGAGCCCCCCCAGAGTTTCTAGGAGAAAAATCTCTAGGAGGAAAATCACTTCCAAAAGGCATCATGATCAGCAAAGTGCAATGAAAACAGTGGCTATAATAGGAAGATATAGTTCCTGGGGACTTAGTTAAACTGCAGACTGATCATCCACCAAAGCTGGAAGTATGTGTTTTATTGGTACTTAATAGAACATTAAAACTAGAGTATATGTTGTTTAAGCAGAAAAAGTAGCCGCTGATTGCTATTACCCTTAACTGAACACATCTCTCCTGAAAGTACCAGGACGTCTATACAGCAACTTTCTTAATTCAATGATATACTGTAGAGAGTGGCTGCTAGTGCCCTAAGATTTAAGAACTTCTCATAAAATGCCCTGGAAATTGGTCCCTGGTAGCTTGCTCATCCTTCACAGATCCCCAGTATAAAGAACAGAAACATACGTGTGTGTGTGTGTGAGAGAGAGTTCTTAACCAACAGGATGGCAAAGCTCTGATATATTGGTGCAAAATATTCCCAAGTGTCTAGAAATCATTTGGCACACTTGCTGTTATTTCCCCCTCTGTCAGATCTTCCCAAGGATTGCAATTAAAAAACATGATCTTTTTAGCATGTGCAACCCCCCCAGGCTAGGAGCACTATGTACTGAACATGAGTATGATATTATTTGGCAGCTATTCATAGACAGCACATATTAATTTATGTAAACTGGACACAAATCAGGGCATGCAGTCATGAGGGACACATGAAAAATCGAAATCTGTCCTTGATGATCAGGGGATTTTTTATGGCTCTGATTATGGATTAACTTGAGTTCCAATGTCTATTTTATTGCCCTATTGTGGGCCTTTTGTTGTGGTTGTTTGCATGAAGTTCAATAAAGTTGAATTTTCCAACGGATATAAAAATAACTTACTTTACAGGAATGTTTCTAGGTTTTGTCTTTTCGGCAGCCTATAAATAGAAGGGGGAGGGAAAAGAAACAGTTAAGCAACATTATCAAGCACAATGTTTCCTGGAACCAAAATAATATTAAAATAGAATGATGTTCAGAAATGGAATAAGCAAACCAAAGCAGGCTACCATCGTTAAGTAGGCAACTGAATAAAGATAGCAACTGCTGAACTCTTTCCGCACAATCGTGTTACAGCTCTTAAAACATTCCTCCCGGTGTTTGAGATACCATCATGCTTTATTTTTTTAATGGCTGAAAGTGTATAGGAACCGTTCATTCAGAATGATTACTGCCTTTCCCGGTTTGAAATCTGGTCATGTTTGTCGCAACGTTACTACCTACATCTAGAACACAAACAGTAACGGGGAAAAATAAAGGCAAGAACGGATTCTATTTCCAAAACAATTTTTATTAGCCAACAACAGAAAAGGGCAATGGATGACCAAATGTTCAGATCAATTTCCTCTCGTGAAACCTTTGAGAAAACACACTCCAAATCATCTAAATGAGTAAATCTCTGGGCCTCTCGGCCTGTACCGCCTCAGACATGGAGCCTGGTTCCAGTTTATTGCTGAACCCATTGATCTGTGTACAGTCCATTTATCATTCATGAAAAGAGCCAGTGATCTTCACAGTATATTAGAAGAAACAACTCAGATCATCTGTCAACGGCCCTCTTATTTCTGTTTCCCTCTCCACGGGGATTTCATCTCCTTCGATTCTTCTTGAATTAAAATGTTGCTAAGCAACACAGCTGGGGGCACTGATGGCAGAATGGCTACAGTCTATCAAACTGTTTAAGCTGTTGGAGATTTTAGTGGTGATTTTTTTTATGCTTCTATGGCATAATTATGTAATCTGAACCAAACTTTTATTCCCTCAGAATTTCATAGACTACATAAATCATATTGCGATACAGAGAAGGTTGAAATATTATCTTAAGACAAAATTAGTGCTGTCAAATCATTTTAGAGCATTCTTTTTAGTATTTGAAGTACTAGGCTATCAGTTTTAAATGGGGAAAGGAGTCAAACCGTTAGTCAGATTACGTGTACTGTAGCACTGAAATGGAGATTGAAAGGTGACTGATCCATAAACCCATTACACTATAGAAAGCTTTCGTGCTTACTTGCATTTTAGTATATTTCAGGAAACAAAATAAAGCCAGAAAAACTGGTGATGATGCACAAGGGTTAAGGGTGTTTGGGTGAAATATTGTAACCTTTGCTTCATTCAGGGACAAGGAAAAATATATTCCTTCGTAAAAATTCCCAGTGATATTCAAAATGTTCAGATAAGGACAAAAGGATTAGATCTTCTGTCTAAATTGGCCTCAACTCTGAAGCGAATCCCCTGAACTTGCAATATTGGGCTACAAATCTTGTGAGAATAGGTTGTTATATGACATCATCAGTGGGACCAGAAATTTTGCACAAAAAAAAAAAAAAAAAAAAAAATCCCCCCTCCCCAGTAGTAGGGAGATCCACATTTAAATCCATCAACATCCCAAACCATTGATTTTTTACATGAGATAAGGAATTAAGGTTTGTGAGATCTGAAATGGGGAAATATTAGTTTTATGGACTGGCTCCTTTTGTGCAGAGAAAGGCTTGCTCTTTGTGTCTTAGATTACGTTTTACATTATTTATTATGGGTCGGTAGAGCCTGGGAGAAGCATTTGTTTTATATTTATACAGTGAAATCAACATAAACAAACAAGACAGTAAGCAAGTAAATGAATATTAATCAAACCAACTAGGTGAAAAGAATGGTAAGGCTGCTCAGTGAAGCACTCAGAACTCAGGAAATGCGAAAGTTAACCTTAATTCTGACCCATTGTGCAAACACATGATGAGGTCTCTTCCAGACCTATGTTTCTATGATTGCATCCCTGCCTCATGAAGTGGTCAGTTGGCTGGTGTGAGTCTTGCTTCACTCCATAGGCACCCTCCAAAATATACTCAATCTATTTGATGCGCACATGTTCAGGGCCAAAAGGACACTGTTTAACAAAAGAACCCCCATTAATAAAAGAAAAGTGTGTATGTGTGTACAAACTATTTATTTAAAATCTTATAATTGAGCCTATTAAATGGATTTTCAGTGGACTACTGAATTTCAAGTTTCTATCTTCTCCTCCTGAGGTACTAAAAGTGTTTAGGCAGCAATGAGTCCTGTGGCACCTTATAGAATATTCACCCACGAAAGCTCATGCTCCAATACGTCTGTTAGTCTATAAGGTGCCACAGGACTCTCTGCTGCTTTTACAGATCCAGACTAACACGGCTACCCCTCTGATACTTAAAAGTGTTTAAAAGGTTACAAATTCTCTTTTATCAAGCAGAAGTCTACTTTCTGACTGCAGTCTAACAATTCTCATGATCAGTCTAGCTAGCCTATAGCTGCGCTGTAACACTACTGTGTAAATCTAAACTAAATCTCAGATACCGGTTACTTTTATCAAATTCTTCAAAAATAATCACACACAAACTTGATTGTAAATAAACAGATAAGAGATAACAATAGAACGAGTGGGAAGTGTTTTGAATAGGAAGTAAATATCTATGCAAATACAAAGAATTACAAGGTTAAATTAATCTATAGCAAATGAGCAAAATGAGGAAATGTACTAAACTGTTTGTATAAAGACGATGAAGCTAGTTCAGAAATTGAGAGAGAATTGGGTAACGTCAAAATCATAGAATATTAAAGATCAGAGTCTAGGAAGTGCATTCAATTTTGAGTAATTGAACATGTGGATTGCAGCTGTTTGCATTGGAGGGGAAAATGTGGTGGTGATGTGTACAATGGGAATCTGCCTACATATTATTCTGTGTGGCTGTGAAGATTGGTAGCATGCCATTGTTTTCTTAGCTAGTGATTTCCTAGATTACTTGTGATTGTGTTCGTGGGAAAGGCACTTCAGTAACTCGAAGTGTTTGGTAGTATAAACTTTTTACACACACACACACATACACACACACACACACTCTCTCTCTCTCTAACCAAAACTTTCAAACAACCAGGAAAGGCTGCACCCAGTTTCAATTTGCATTTTGGATGAAGGAGCTGCTCACTTATTATATTACCTGAACCTATTTGCCACTTAGTGGGAGTTGAGGATGGGAGCTGACCATGCAGAATTAGACATAAGGAATTCCATCTGAGTAAGTATTACAGGATCTGGCCCTGTGCTTTCATTTTTCTTGTATGTATTGCTCACTCTTTTTCACAGTATATTTGTTGCAATATCATGAGCATGCTCAGTAGCAGAACAGAGGAATCAAAGTGACATTGAGTAACTGTACATATTAAGCTCTGATGCAGAAACATATTGTTTGAAAATATTGTGTGTGGAGCAGGTCTGTCAATTAGAGCTAATTATTTTTTCTCTGATCAGGAAGAATACTATCTTGTTTTAGGCAGCTTTCTTTGAAATGTACATCTTTTATACAACTTCATTATAGGAAAATACTTCCTCCAAATTACTTTTATTTCTGGGTTGCTTCGCTATTGACTCAACTGGTCTACGTTGAGTAGTTCTCTCTGCTTTGATAATTAACTTTTGATCATTACTGAATTTAACAGCTCTAGTCAGATGTGTTCATAGTCATCCTCGTCAATTACTTCAGTGCTCATCACCTTTAATCTTTGAACAAAATGATATCATTGAGCTTCCATCAGCCTTGCTATAGAGTTAACAATTTTCTGTTTCTCGTCTTCATGACTCAATTTGTTTTAGATGTGAGGCGAGCTTTTGATTATTAATTTAAGATATTTCAAAGACAAACAATTTTAAAAGTGAGTTATTTTGTGCAACTTATATTCTGGGCTTTTACAAATCAGAAATGGTTTTTAAAACCCAGAATGATTCCTGAACTTCACACATTAAAATGACTATAAATAGAGTAGGTAGGAGGTTCCCAAATCATGATACATGTGGTCTGAGTGGGCGATCACACTACAAAAGAATGGAAAGAAAATGAAATAATATAATGGGATTCAATGAGCGTTAGGAGGGTTACATCATGGGATTGCTGCTAATTTTGAGTTTGCAAGTGTACATTAAAATAATTTAAGATGATTAGAAAATGGAGACCAGACTGAACTAGACAGTTATACTGCTTTAATTTGTAATTTCCTTCTGATTTTTTACAATTATGGTACTAGTTATATACCATATCTCTCTAAAATTATCCTCTCTCCACAGCTGCCCCTCTAGGCAGACACAGGATGAGAAGGAGAAAGAAGATAAATTGGAGGAACAGATGAAGGGCAGCATCAGTTCATAGAAACCTTTTGGGTGTTGGGGGATGGTTTTCCATCGCATTCAGGGAACTCAAATGTGAACTCCAGATGTGAGCAGCACAGAACAGTAATAGAGAAGTGAAAGAAATGTGTCCCTAGAGGCTGGATAAAAAGACAAGTTTCACTAATTGTCACACAAAAGAAGGCACTGGCAAATAACCATCACCCTCATGAATTCCTTCCGTGAACTGCACTGTGGGCCAAAATAGTGTCTGTTTTTCTGGTTATCAATCAAGGCACTAATCTTTCTGATGGACATTGTGTTTTGGTCAGTGCACGGTACCTAGAGCACCGAAAACACACGCACAGTAAACTCTCAAGAATGGCTAGTCAAAAAATGTTGGTCAAAATTGTCTTTTGATGGAAAACTGGGTTTTTGAATAAATGAAATTTTCTACTGAAAGTATTTATTTTCTACGGAATAGGTAGAGTTTTCATTGAAAACCTGAAATCTGAAAAGTTTGTAGCCAACAATGAGTGACAAATTGAAATGTTCTGGAGAACCCCTCTCCCACATTTTCTGATCAGCTCTGCTCTCAGGGGTGAGCAGCTAAACTATCCCACGTAGGTATGTTCATGACTGACCATGCTCTCCTCTTGTTCTGTCAGTGGAACAGACGATCATCACTGAAGGTACAATTCAACACCCTTGGCACTAATGAAAATCTTTCCATTGACTTCAATGGGAGTT